GTCAATAAAATGTTAACCCTAAGGCCGTCGTCCTGAAATCAAAATAACAAACTGCGTTCGAATTGATTTTCCTTCTATAAAGTGGCTGTTTGACCCCACGCACGTAGTGCCTTGTTAATGATTGTGGTTCAAACTGGTGTGGGCAGGCTACCGTATGCGAGGGGGTTTTTACTTGCGTAATACACTGTACACCTAAGTTAGGTATTACGCATAGTGTAATACCTAAAAGTAGGAACACATGCTCTAAAATGGTAGAATTTTGGTTGCAAAGCCTGTTTAACAACGGTGCAATACCACGTAATACGCGCAATATGTTATACACTGTACACAAAAATTCCGAGTGAAAACCCCCTTGCCCGTTTGTTAAAGGCAAGACTGTACATACCCTTGGACTGTCATATCCTGCCCGCATTAACGCAACTGGTTCGTCTTGGTCCATGTCGTCACTGTCGTCGCCATTGTCCTGGAAACATTACTCGGTCTTCAGCGCCAGAACATTCGAACCACCGCAGCTCGACGCGTGGCCACCGTCATTCGTGCCCTCCCACGCGACCGTGCTGTCTCTGCCTGAAGCCATGAGCACCTTGCCCCGTAAGAAAAACAAGAAGAACAAGATGGCCGCCGCGTGGCGTAGCGCGGTCTCACAACAAAGCAGAAAGCTGCCGGTAAAAGGGCGTGGATCAGTGTTTTTGCTTCTCCTTTGTGGTTTGAGGCATTTTTAAAGACCAAATCGTGTTCGAGGTTTAATTTTAAGATATATTTGTCCAAAATTTGTTAAATTTTCCCGTGATGTAAAGTTAAATCGCAATTTACATCTGAAATCGGGGAGTTTAACCTCTTCAAAGGCTCAGTAAGTTTCCCAATCTTTTTCGATTCTCTAAAATTTTAATCTCTTTCTGTATCTCTTTTGATTTTTCCGTCATATTATTAGTACTGAAGTTATTATAATTTTTGTTATTTGCTAGGTGATGAGGAAAGGTAGAACTTGCCTCTATCCAAAGTGCAACCATTGTCAGGGCAATAATGTGGCAAAATGTAAGTTTAGAAGTTTCCCTAAGGACCTGTTTAAAGCTCGGAGATGGTTATTCCTATGTGGCATAATGAACCTCACCCCGAAAAAACTTCTTACGCACTGGACCATATGCTCTTGTCATTTTACGAAATCTGATCATGAACCCGATCAGTACATTGAGGAGTATGGTGATGTATGTTTAATTTTAAAGTGGTTTTTAATTGTGATGTAGATTATTTTTTATTCCATTAGAATTGTGATTCCTTTCAGAGTGATGATATGACTCAACCGGAGGTTGTTCCTCCCTTGCAATCACCCGCACCCAAAAAGTTGAGATTGTCAACCTTAACACCATCATCAAAAGATGCTGTTGATGCTCTTCTGCTGCTGGTAAGTCCGTACAGTTACCTCATTACTTAATAGGCATCTTACCTTTCACTGCAGATTTTCTAAATTCCATATTCAGCCTGAAGCTAGAATGAAGCAACCCACATATTCTCCGAAGCGAAGCCTCTGGAGGCTTAGGGAGAGTATTTCTATAAAAGGATGTAAAAGCAGATTCCATCATATGGCTGTAAGTAGAAATATGTGTGTAAGCTCTTATTGTGCTTTACGTTAAGGTGGATTTTGACAGAAGTCCTGACAATTTTTCCTCAGAGCTTCACTGAATTCCATGATGAATTGGGGGTTTTGCCTTTACCAAATGAAGATTTTCTTGCCATAAGCCCTCCCCTACATTCTGACACTGACAAGGAAATTTCTTCCAACTTTAAAGTTCCTCTAAGTAGAAAAGTCAGTAGAGCAAGAAGCCTGAACTTCAATGATTTTGATAATACTCCCTTGGACAACAGTGAAGCCTCCCGCTCCAAAGACAGTGGATACATGACTGACTATGGCCCACTCCAAGGTAGCCAGATGTTTTCATCCACCCCTCTGCAGAAAGACGCCGGAAACATGACTGACTCTGGCTCACTCCACAGTAGCCAGATGTATTCATCCACCCCTATTCAGAAAGACAGCAACAAAAGAAACAGCAATCCCACCATACTTTTTGATGGACGTGACACCTGCGGGATGTGTGGCGCTGATCTTAATAAGGTAATTGAGTTTACACTGACAAGTATGAGAATTCAGTATGGAGTGATATATTTTATTGGCAAGTCCGGTGATGTATTCATCACTAATAAAACTTTTAACAAGCAGGCCCGCCCTTCCGCCAAACGAAGTTGCCAGCTTCGCTTCGCTGCGCCGGCAACTTCGTTCGGCAGGGGCCGGGCCTGCTTGGCCTGCCGGCGGCGATGGTCGGGCCTGCGGCCCGACCATTTCTGTCACGCGATTTGCTGTAGAACATAATCAAATGATGTAACGGGCCTTCGGCCCGCAAAGCCCGTTGTCCTTAAAATTTGCCCCGTAGACACGAGAAAGGGATGTAACGGTGAAACACCGCGACTACAACCCACCCTTCTGCTTAGAAAACGTTTTTTCGGGTTGGGGGGAGGGAGTTTCTTATCTCTTTTGCGGTTTTGGGCCTTCTTTTATACATTTAATTGTTCACTACAGCAATTTTTAACTTATTTTCGTCAAACAAGACCCTCTAACGCCTAAACGGTTAGAGATAGAGCCAAACGGACGAAATTTTCGTCTACAGGGCTCTATTTTTGCAAGTTACCCCTAAGGAGACCATCTAATATTTTCTAAAACTAATATGTTTATTTTTGGGCCACTTTCTTGATAGAAACTCCCTCTAGCGCCTAAACTGTGAGAGATAGAGCAAAATGGACGAAATTTTCGCCCATAGGGCTCTACTTTGACGAGTTACCCCTTAGGAACTCATGAAAAAAATATTTTTTCCTGACTCTTTTGACCTACCTTATTTTCTTTGATACCCCCTTTTAGCCCTTTTGGAGTGGTTGCCAGGATTTGCCGTAGGCGTTTCGTTCTCCAGGAGTGGACCTTAAGATACCCTGAAAATTTCAAGTCTCTAGCACATCTCCTTCTAGTGGAACAGACAGACAGACAGACAGACAGACAGACAGACACACAGACAGACAGACACACACGAGGTCGTTTGCATAAGCCCGCTGGATAGCTTTTTCAAAGCAGAAGGGCGGGCTAAAAATAAAAGAAGGTGCCTAGGAACTATTTACTGCTAGCTCCAGGATAACAATCATTTTACTACTCTAAAATTAAGAGAGGAACATTGTGTAAGTCCTCTTTAAAAATATATTTGGTGTCAAAGACAGCATTCAGTCAAGTTTGCAATAAAAATTATACTGACTAGCACTGCAACATTAGGCAAAGGATCACATGCTAACTAATTACGGCTACTTAATTCAGGTAACATTTAGAAAATACTCTTGTTAGTGCTCAGATTTAACTTGTCGAGCCCCTACTTGCACCCTTTTGGATGATATCAAAACTTCATTTTCATTTTCGACCGTGAATGTATTTGAAGGTTCTTCCCCATACCAGAAGTAATTGTCATCATAATCTTCATGGAATTGGGAGTAGACTAGAAATTTAGGTTGACGTTTAAAAATTGTGTTATACAGGAAGAATTCAGGGACTATAAGCTCCCGATGAATTCTTTTTAGCCTTTCCCTTTTCTCCTTCCAAAAATCTTCAGAGTATAATACCGGGACAATCAGAATCTTTGGCTTATTGTTCTTCTCCGAATAAACCACAAAATCACATTGTGTAAGCTGTAAGATGTCTAGAGACATTTGCACTTGGACGTACCAGTGATGAGAACGCCGTACCTCTACCTGCCCATTTTTTTTATTTCTGAAGAGGCAGAAATTTCTTGCTTGCGCTATCGGGAGAGTTTCAAAATCAGCTGGGTCCATTTCTTTCAGAACGGCAGGACACTTGACCTCCAACAGTTTCACAAATCCGTTAACATCCACAACTATACCGTCTGGACTGCAAGACAATTGTGGGTGTTTGGGGCTTACCCACATGCCTGTCTCAATGACATCCCACTCAGGGTGTGTTTTTTTTATTTCAATTGTGTAAGCTTCTCTTGCAGCAGGTTCCTTTTGCAGTCCTTCTATCATGGCTTCGTTTTGGAAGGGGTCTAAGCCCCAGATGTGTTTTCTGAGAGCATTTATCTTCCCATTTACAGTGGACCGAGATGATTGAAGACCCAACATTTTTTGTGCTTTTGAAGCTGGAATTCTAACAGCCCTCTCAAATGCCCAAGCTGGGCTAGAACTTTGATGTGTGGTGAGGGGTAAATGCAATGGTTTCTGAAAAATTGACAGTCCCTTTATAAGGTTAAGATTCCATAGCATGTAACTGCACATTTCAGCAACAGTGAGGGTTGTTGATAAATCCGGAAAGATTTCCTCTTCATCATGGCGCTGTCCACGCCAAATCAGCAGGTAAAAAATGACCCCCTTGAATTTTTATTTTTCTTGTGGCTATCGATGCTCCCATGGATGTTGCACTCAGACCCGAAATTATTTTTCCGATATCTCCACTGGTTGGGGGTAGGGCGCGAGTCAAAGTTCCGTCCCCCACCCCCTCAAAATCACTATTTTGGTCCGTGCGCCGGGTGCGCGCGCGCGGAGTCTACCAAATCTTGCCCGTCTGTAGTACTAAAGTAGACCTTCCGAAGCCGCACGGGGCGAACCGCATACTTTCTCTACTAATATCTACAAATTCAACATTTAAAACGCGACATTAGTGCGCTTATTTCTCAGAAAGTTATTTTTTGTTTTCGTCCGCACTTCGGCGCCAGGTACTAGCCTACCATAGCTACCGAGAGCAAAAATAATTAGCGTGGGATCTGTATGGGCCGGCTTGGGAAACCCGGAAAACTGTTCCGAGCGTAGCGGGACCCATTTCAATTCGCGCGCGCTTTAATGGCGCCAACGTCTCTGGGCGGCTAGAGTGGCCACTCGTCCGGTGCATCGTGCCGGCACCTCCCTCTCCACGCGTGTGGTGAGGCGCGTGTATGACGAGTGCATGTAGGAGAGGACAGCACGGCACCGCACGTAACCAATGAAAATCCGCTATAGCAAATTAGAAAGGGAAGTGCCAGCACGATGCACCGGACGAGTGGCCACTCTAGCCGCCCAGAGACGTTGGCGCCATTAAAGCGCGCGCGAATTGAAATGGGTCCCGCTACGCTCGGAACAGTTTTCCGGGTTTCCCAAGCCGGCCCATACAGATCCCACGCTAATTATTTTTGCTCTCGGTAGCTATGGTAGGCTAGTACCTGGCGCCGAAGTGCGGACGAAAACAAAAAATAACTTTCTGAGAAATAAGCGCACTAATGTCGCGTTTTAAATGTTGAATTTGTAGATATTAGTAGTGAAAGTATGCGGTTCACCCCGTGCGGCTTCGGAAGGTCTACTTTAGTACTACACACTGGCAAGATTTGGTGGACTCCGCGCGCGCGCACCCGGCGCACGGACCAAAATAGTGATTTTGAGAGGGTGGGGGACGGAACTTTGACTCGCGCCCTACCCCCAACCAGTTGAGATATTGGAAAAATAATTTCGGGTCTGAGTGCAACATCCATGGGAGCATCGATAGCCACAAGAAAAATAAAAATTCAAGGGGGTCATTTTTTACCTGCTGATTTGGCGTGGACAGCGCCTCATGTGGTTGAGGTGGATGAAGGAGGTGGTAAGACCACAAGATTGCAGTGGGCAGTGATTGCAGTTGGTTCAGGAATTTTGTGATTCGGTCAGAATCATCATCTGTTTGATATTCTGAAGGTCTGGGATCGAAGTGGCCTCTTCTGTAATATTTCACTTTCGGGTAGTACTCCGTTTTATCTCTCACCACTCCTGGTGTCCTGACAACAGTGGTACCAGGCAGCAGCCAGTAGCACCTCCTTCCCGTTGAAGTGACAGCTGGAAAAGAGAAAGAAATAATTAACCAATATCTCACACCTAAATTTAATTTCTCAATTTTTGTTTCTTATGTTTCAGGAAACGCGATCAATAGGTATCCAGTGCATCAGAAGCTACCTGTGCTATGAAAACTGTAAGCTACTCCCTGAAGAGGAATTTAGATTCTATACGGGCATAACACAACAGGTCTTTGAGTTCTTGTATGAATTTCTCGGTGGTGATGAGGTATGTGCCAGACTGAAGTATGACTACATGAAGAAGACACCGAAAAGATCACAATTTCAAGGAGACTTGTTCCCTAAAGACAAATTGTTTATGACCCTTCTACGGATACGAAGAGGATTCACATTAAATGACCTAAAGGTCATGTTTAAAATTAGTGAATCACATGCCAGCAAAATATGCTACACATGGATTAGGTTGATGAGCTTGGAATTCAGAAAATTAGAAAAATCCATGTTTGTGAGCAGAGAAAACCAAGATGGTCGCAGACCAAAATGCTTCAAAGATTTTAAGAATCTAAGAGTCATTATTGATGGCACTGAATTCCGAATTCAGAAACCCACCAACCAGCAGCAATCAAGTAACAGTTTCTCAGACTATAAAAACTACCACACAATCAAATTCCTTGTTGGAATTTCATGCTATGGTGGATTATCCTTCATCAGTGAAGGATTTGAGGGTAGTATAAGTGATCGGAAACTTATAGAAGACAGTGGTTTCATGGATCATTTGGAACCACATGATGGAGTCATGTCTGATAAAGGTTTTGATATGGAGGACAAATGTGATGAGAGGGAAGTTGATTTGTACATCCCATCTTTCCTTGGCAGGCGAGATGCTTTTACAGGAAGAGAGCTCCTCTATTCAAGAGCTATAGCTGTATCAAGAATTTTTGTAGAGATCTTTATTGGCAAAATCAAAGAATTTAGATTAGTGAGGTACCTTATCCCTAACTCAATGCTTCCCGTAGCAAGTGATTTAGTTAGAGTTTGTGCATTCCTTGTTAATTTTCAGAATGCATTCATAAAGATAGATGAATATGATACTTCAGAATTATAGACTAGAGCATTACTACATTGTATTTTCTTTGATAATTATTTTTTAGGAAGTTAAGAATTTTCTTTGTATAAAATTTGACCAAGGGATAAAATTCGTAACAAGAATATATTTTTACCTTCATTCCCGTGGCGCTCAATGTGCCGTGATATCAAAAGCAAGACGGCAAATATATGACAGCATCTTCCTAGTGCTCGAGCCTTGCAACAGCATTCAGCAAAGCAAATTGCACCCTGTGATTTTGATATCATGATGCACACCATGTACGTCGCCTTCCTCATGGATGCTTGCACCTCAGCCTTCACACAGTAATGTTTGTCTTTCTCACAGTCATGAACAGTTAGCACTCTGCCACTGTCGAGGAAATTTGTTGCCCGTTTCATAGTTCCCTTTACGAAGATGTTTCTTCTCTCATCCTGGGTTTGAGGAGTGAGGTCAAATAAATCATCTTCATTTTCTGACCCATTATCTTCATCTTTTTTTTCTATAACAGTAACTCCATGGTCAGGAGAAAAACGCCACAGAGGTATAGCAGTCAGATATTTCAATGCCATGTCTGTTGAATACTTTTTGGGAATGTGTACCGAAGGGAATGGCTTCCACACAGCACCAGTAGGAAACATTGGGTAGCGTTTGTTGGAGTCATATGCCTAGTAACAAAGATAGTGCGTTACATGGTGCGCTAGAGACACATTACTGTACTGCTAACAGGAGGTCAATATGACGAACTTACCGCTGCCATAGCTTCCTTTCTCTTTGCCTCATACCATTTACCTTTACCGACACCAGGATAAATCTTTCCTTCTCTGTGTCGATGATTTAGGATCCTGAAATTGAGTATCAGTTTGTGTTACATTTAAGCTGCTAACTAAGGGGAGGAAAGTTATAATCATTTAGTACTCATGCACCTTTCCTGAAGTTGTGGTTTTTTTCCCTTTTGAGGAAGACCTCTGCATGCCAGCCACCATTTCAACTCGTCCACATTGTACTTCCCCAAATTATCAAGATCAAGCTTGGAACCAGGAACATCTTTGACTGTCAGTACTGGATCCATGACGTCTAGATCAAAGTTTGGGTGATTGCACTGTGATATCTGTGAATCAAAACCGAGATTGTGACGAAACTAAATACCATAGGAGTGTCTAAAGAGCAAAAATTGTTTATCAGCTTACCACATTACTTTTAAGGCTGTCAGTGACTCCATCAATTTTCTGGGAAAATCCAGAGATATTTCCATTATTATCCAAAATTACATTAGTTACGTTGTCACACTCATTGTCCTCATAATTATTGGATGCTCCACTCACAACCACATCATTATTTGCAGGAGTGTCATTTATAGCAAGGTATTCTAAGTTAAACGATTGATCACAACTTTTATCGGAATCATGATCACTGAAGTTGTAGCCATCTGCTGCAGGTGGGAGTTCTCCTTCCTCCTCTTCTTCTTCTTCATCATCATCATCAAATAGATCCTGAGAGACATCAGGTTTGTCATTCTGCAAGCAACAACAACATTTTTAATTAGGGCAGGTTCCAATACCAAAGTTTGAAGTCATTATTTATAATGCAAGTCTGAATAGATAGATAGATAGATAGATATGAGCATCCTACAGTCACATTTGAGTCAGAAGATACAAAATTCTTCAAGAAAGTTTCTAGTGAAGCTTGGGCAAAGTCAGATGGTAGGTGATTGTTATTGTCATCAGGTTGCATTTCATAGAAAAGTAGATATGCATTGCTAGTGCATAGATGCCTAGTTGTACTGCTGCTAACTTTACTGTCATTAAAATTATACCACCTATGAGAAAAATAGAAAAGGGTGGGCAAGAAAGTTAACACTGTACACTGAAA